TACAAACATTAACCACACTTCCATTCTTTCCTGGGACTATCTAATCATCTGATGAGAACATCTACAAAACCGGTAATTATGCTGGTTTTATTTAATTAATTTTAAATGAATTAAAAATTTACTAATAGCAGGATATATGCCTGGATAAATCATGGGAAGATTTCAATATTCAGAAATCTTAGTTAACTAAAGAATATATAGTTATAAACATTCCATTCTGCAGGTGGAATCAAGAAAATTATATATATTAATGTGATATTTATCACGTGTTAGCATACTGCCGTATTTAATTGAAAATAACAATAGAATAGGATAGTATATGCCTAAGAAGATTCTAGCCAGTATTGATAGAGTTAATCAAGATCTGACTGATAGCCAAGATTTTACGACTTCTAGCTACGCCAGTGGTGTATCCTGGTTTTGTGCTCCCCTAGGCAGGACAAAACTCAGGTGCCCCTCCCCCCCGCCCTCTAAATACACATACACACACTCACTAACAGGCAAACACACTCACACTCACTAACAGGCAAACACACTCACTAACAGACATTATAATCAAATTGTGATTTATTTGTATGGAGTAAAAATCCTCTAAAATGATGATGTTCTCTAGGATCTAAGAGAATTAAAATAGTGGGTAATTCTCAAGATATCAATTTTGATATAATAGAAATGATTACATTCATTTTTGATAATTTTAATAAAAATATTATTTTAATATTTATCACCCCATAAATATCCCCACAAATCTTTGAAAATAAGCTATTCTCTGATAAAAAGTGAAACCATTTTTTCTTTTCATGCAGGTTGCATGAGTTACAGCCAGGGAAGGTGTGACCAGGGCTGCATAAACCAAAACAAAAGTGATTTAATTCCTAAATGGCTTGAGCAGTGAAACTTCACAGATGTTCTATACACGTAATCTTTACACTTAAACTGCTTCATTAAGCTAAAGAGGTTTGGTGACTGTAATCCTTTAATCATTTCTCTTGAAATCAGCACTCTTATAAAGGTTGCACCAACCCAGCTGTCAAATTGTTCCTCTTCATTACTACGTGTCCCAGAATAAAGTGGAAAGCAATGCTCCCTGCCCTATGAGAAGAATTCTACTGGCCGAGAGATTATCAGTACTGTTGTATTCCAGGTGATGCTGTAGTGAGCTACTATGTCGCTAATGAATTAAAGGACCACTTTATGCACCCAGCTCAATAAAGTAGACCACTTTATTGAGCTGGGTGCATAAAGTGGTCCTTTAATTCATTAGCGGGTGCCAGGTCCCCCTAGTTTTAACCCTGCAGCTGAAAACATAGCAGTTTCAGATAAAATGCTATGTTTACACTGCAGGGTTAATCCAGCCTCTAGTATCTGTCTCCCTTACAGCCACTAGAGGTGCTTCTGCGATTTACAGAGTAAATCGCACTTCAAATAAGATCCCTATAGGAAAGCATTGAGTAATGCTTTCCTATGGGCAGGTTTGAATGCGTGCACGCCTCTGGACGCACATGCACATTCAGCTCCACTCGGGAACTGACATCAATGGAGGAGAGGTCACCAGCGCCGAGGGAGCCCGGCGCTGGATTAAGGTAAGCAAATAAATGGTTAATTAACCATTTATTCACCGCGGAAGGGGCCCTAGTCACTGTTTAGGTGACTAGGGCTCTATAGCGTTAGAAATACATATTTGTATTCCTAATGCTATAGTGTTCCTTTAAAGAAAAGTTAAACTCTTCATTCAACCAGTTTTGCAGAGGGAAAGGGGATCCGGGGAGTATATTCCAAAATCATATACAATATAACGGTGGAGTATTCCTTTATTGATTATACTCCTTCCCATTGCTTTTTTAAACATTATCTTTACTCCAATGTGCTAGATTTAGGTGCAGCCATTTATTTGTAATGCCAACAGTTTGCCCTTTTGTAGGATTCTTTGACTGATGAACTGTGCGTAAATTACCTTGTTAACGGAATATAGACACTTGCTTAAAGGGATACTGTACGCACTGTAACCATTTAATCTAATTGAATTGGTTATAGAGTCTAGAGCAAGCATGTCAAATTCAAAGGCTAGCGAGGGCCAAATAAACAAGGTTTAAGTTTATGTGGGCTGCAAAAAAACTTAAATTTCCCCCCCCTCTACTAAACCCCAGCCCCCCCTCGTCTACTAAACTCCAGCCCCCCTGTCTACTAAATCCCAGTCCCTATCTCGTCTACTACTAAACCCTAGCTCCCCATCTACTAAACCCCAGCTCCCCATCTACTAAACCCCTGCCCCTGCTTAAAAAAAAAAAAAAGCCAACAAGCAGTGTCCGGAATCCGGCCTCTGGCATACCCCCAATGGCCCCATCCGCACCTTAAAAAAGCGGATCCTCCCGTTACTCCTTGAAACCCTCACACACACTCACTGACAGACATACACACAGAATCACTCCAACACACACAGACTCACAAACACACACAGTCATTATGTTATTATGTATATAGCGCCAACAAATTCCGCTGCGCTTTACAGTGGGTGGACGAACAAACATGTAGTTGTAACCAAACGAGTTGGACGCACAGGAACAGAGGGGTTGAGGGCCCTGCTCAATTAGCTTACATGCTAGAGGGAGTGGGGTAAAGTAACACAAAAGGAAAGGATAGTATTAGACTAAAGATCAGACTTTCTTACAGCAGTATTGGGGCTTGATAATTCTGAACTCAGGCTGTTGAATAAAGATATGTGAGGTCAGATAGGCTTGCAATGAAGCTGAGGGAGGGGGATATGTATCTAGGCACAGAAACGAAGGGTGTCAGGCAGGGGTCAAGTCCTGGGGAAAAAAGTGTGGGAACTCTCCCAAAAAAAACAACCCAAAACACTTGTATGTATGTTTATATATATGTATGTGTGTGTGTGTGTGTGTGTGTGTGTGTGTGTGTGTGTATGTATATATATATATATATATATATATATATATATATATATATATATATATATACACATACATACATACATACATACATACATACACACGCGTGCACACACACACACAGTGGTGTATTTTAATTTTATGCTGCCCTAGACATGACTATAGAGCACCCCCCTAATCTAAATTTACCACTCCTTCATGTCAAGGGTGCACCGCTTCCTGATTAAGAACCCACCCCTTCCTCTTTAGACTCCACCTTTTCCTGCTCCTTTTAAAGAAATACTATAGTGCCAGGAAAACAAAGTTGTTTTCCTGACACTATAATTCCGTATAGTGCCCCCCTCCTCTCATGTCCTCCCCTCCCCCACTCGACACTGAAGGGGTTAAAATCGTATGGGTATTTAGCAGATGCTGGATGTCCTCATGCCAGGGCCGGACTGGGAGAAAAATTCAGCCCGGGCATTTTTTTAGCACAGCGGCCCACTAAGAAGGGGGTGGGGCAGAGAGGGTGTGTTTCGTCATCACCAAAGACAAACACGCCCCCTCTCAAAGTGAGCGTTGGGTCAATGCTCTTCCAGGGCAGAGCTCTGCTAAAGAGCTCTAGCATGAGAAGAAAAAAAAACCTGTATTTGTTCTGCACAGTGCAAGCAAATTTAATAACATGCTTCCACTGTGTTTCCTTGAAACTTGTCTCTGGTGTCTCTATAAATGGATACCAGGAGACAAAAGGGCAAGGAAAGAGTATTGTGCATGTGTTTGGAGCCTGCTTTGGGATTGTGTGTGTGCAGAGTGAGCTGGTCGTGGTTTGGTATTGTGTAATAAGGTTGGTTTTAGTCGTGTTGTGTTTGTGGTGTAATGTAATGCATATGTGGCTAGGAGCTGAAGAGAATGTGTGTATAGGGGATGTAGTAAATGTATGCACACAGGCTATAGTGTGTGTGTGTGTATAGGTGATGTAGTGTTTGTAGGGGTTGTAGAGAGTGTGCGTTTAGGGGTGTAGCATGTGTTTGTTTACAAGGAATCTAGTGTGTGTGTATCAGGGATCCAAAGTGTGTATGTTAGGAATGTAGTGTGTGTAGGTGGTGCAGTGTGTGTGTGTATACAGGAGTCTAGTGTGTGTTTGAAGGACCCAGAATGTGTATGAGATCTAGTGAGTGTGTGTATATAACGGAATCAGAGTGTATATAGGGATTTAGTGTGTGTATATGATCCATAGTTGGGTAAGGGATAGAGTGTGTGTCTGGAATGTAATATGTTTAGCGGTGCAGTATGTGTGTGAGCGGTTCAGTGTGTGTGAACGGTGCTGTGGTGTGTGTGTGTATATATATATATATAAAATATATATATATATATATGTTTGGAAGTATTGTGTGTGTGTGTTTAGTGCAGTGTGTTGGGGTTCTGCGTGTATGTGTGAGGGGTGCAGTGGGTGTCTGTGAGGGGTGTAGTGTGTATGTGAAGGGTGCAGTATGTGTGTGTGATGGATGTTGTTTTTGAGGGGTGCTGTGTGTGAAGATGCTGTGTATGTTGTGTTTAAGGGTGCTGTATGTGGGTGCTGTGTTAAAGGGTGCAGTGTGTGTGATTTGTGTGTGTGTGTGATGTGTGTGAAAGTGCTGTGCTGTGTGTGAGTGTGCTGTGTGTGATGTGTGTGAGAGTGCTGTGTGTGAGAGTGCTGTGCTGTGTGTGAGAGTGCTGTGTGTGATGTGTAAGAGTGCTGTGTGTGAGAGGGCTGTGAGTGAGAGTGCTGTGTGTGAGAGTGCTGTGTGTGAGAGTGCTGTGCTGTGTGTGAGAGTGCAGTGTGTGTGAGTGCTGTGTGTGATGTGTGTGAGAGTGCTATGCTGTGTGTGAGAGTGCTGTGTGTGAGAGTGCTGTGTGTGAGAGTGCTGTGTGTGCTGTGTGTGAGAGTGCTGTGTGTGAGAGTGCTGTGTGTGAGAGTGCTGTGTGTGAGAGTGCTGTGTGTGCTGTGTGTGAGAGTGCTGTGTGTGCTGTGTGTGAGAGTGCTGTGTGTGAGAGTGCTGTGTGTGCTGTGTGTGAGAGTGCTGTGTGTGAGAGTGCTGTGTGTGAGAGTGCTGTGTGTGCTGTGTGTGAATGTTAAAAGTGATTGTGTGTTGGGAGGGTAAAAAAAAAACAACAACAAAAATGCATTATATCTGCCCCCCCCCCCTTTACCTTTAGCCTGGGAGGGGTCCGGCACGGTGGTAGCTGGGAGGAGGGGGACCGGCACACTCACATCATCCCTGGTGGTCCAGTGGTTAGTGAACTCTAGCCTATAGGCTAGAGTTCACTCTCGCGAGATCCGGCGCGTTGCCATGGCAACGCTCCGGATCTCGCGAGAGAAACCCGGCGGAGCTGCAAGATAGAGCTCCGCCGGGTCCTCTCCCTCCCTCCCCAGCCGCAGGTCTATTTAAATGGGCCGGTGAGGGAGAGCTTTGATCTCCCCACCGGCCCTCCATGGAAGACAGCGGGGCCGGCGCTCGGATAGTGCCGGCCCTGCATAGACCGGCATGGGAGATCCTGAGACCTCCCCTGCCGGCCTCGTCCCATGGACATCGCGGCCCACCGGCATTTGCCCGGTGTGCCCGATGGCCAGTCCGGGCCTGCCTCATGCACAGGGTGAGGACGTCCAGCATCAGTTAGGTGACTTTTGGTCACCTAACTACCCGAAAGTCCCTCTAGTGGCTGTCTGATAGACAGCCACTAGACTTGGAGTTACCCCTCAGGTAATTATTGCAGTTTCTGAGAAGGTTTAAGGGGACTGGGACACTGTACCCAGACCACTTCAAGGAGCTGAAGTAGTCTGGGTGCCTATAGTGTCCCTTTAAGCACACTCTCTGACAGACACCCACACTGGCAGATACACACTATAAGTAACACACACATTCAATAACAAACACACAGACGTCACTGATTTGACACACACATTCACTGACACACACTCATTCATTGACAGAGAGACACACACTAATAGTGACACACACACTAAATGACAGACTCACTTATTTGACAGAAACTTACAATAACGTATGCACATACATGCAATTGCAAACATACACATGCATACACTAACAGAAGCACATACACTCACATACACACGTACAAACGCTAACAGACATAAATACACTCCTACACACACTGAGACAAACAGACATCCACACATCCAGACATCCACACACAGACATCCACATATACAAATTAATAATATTATTAAAAAAAATAACATATCCCACCCACCCAGCATCCCTACCTTTCCCTGGGGTCCAGTGGGGCTGCAGTGAGGACGGCTCTCTCCCTGTCACACGCGGAGAGGGAGCTGTGTGCTCTCTGCTCCCTCTCGCCGCGTGGGATGTCTGCTGATGCTGGGAGCCGGGTTGATGACGTCATATTCCGGCTCCCAGCATCAGCACACATCCCGCGCGGCGAGAGGGAGCAGAGAGAACACAGCTCCCTCTCCGCGTGTGACAGGGAGAGAGCCGTTCGCCGGGGGGCAATACATCAGGTGGACCCCCATGACAGGGGGAACACAGGGCATTTGGGGGCGGCATTTTTTGCCGCCCCCTGAGTGCCTGCAGGGGGAACGGCGTTCCTGCTGTGAAAAAAGTGCAGGAACGCCGTTCCCACGCGTTCCTGCAGGACTCGAGCCCTGGTGTCAGGGCTTACCTGGGTTGGGAGTCCGGCAGACAGAAATGTATGCTCACCCTTGCAAGAAAACATAGGCCGAGGTGGTCAGGTGAGAATTCACCTGGCCTGTGAGTCGGTGCACGGGGGCTGTGCAGGGTAAACTCCTAGTCATGGTACAGGAACGGATAAACCAGGAGAATAGTCGTGGGAAGCCAAGGGTCAGAGGATGCCAGAAGTCAGAGTAAACTAGGTCAGAAGCCGGGGTCAATATGAAGCAGAGTAACAATAGACAGGAACACTGGTACGGAACACACACAACAGGATCAAAGACTTGACCCAGTTCACAGGGCGAGGCAGAGTTTATATACCCTGATGATAACTGATCAGGGTCAGGTGAAGCACAGCTATGTCAAGGACCAGCCCCCACTGCTGCAGACAAGCCAGGAAGAACAGAACTGGAATAGCTTGAAAATAAACAAAGCTGCTGTGGCTCAGAGGTAGGAAGCAGGACCAGGACTGCGAAGTTCCCCAGTTCAAATACCTTGTTGGGCACTCCTGGAAAGACCACGTCTAGCTGTCTGTATGTCACGGTGAGAACCGTGACAGTACCCCCCCCCTTCAAGAACACCCTTCGGGCATGAATAGGTTCTTTGTTATAAAAGTACACCTCTTCAGGTTCACTATCTGAATCAAGAAAGTCCCCAGTGTGGAATCTCTTTTCAGCTTGGGACTACTTAGTACCAGCTTCTGGTACGTCTGGAGAACAGTCCAGTTCTTTTAGGATCTGTGTACAGGTGGTAAGCACTTCCATTACTTCAGCAGGAGCTAACAATGCCTTTTCGAACATTTCTAGATCTTCTGTTCAGACTTCATTGTTCATTGGAAGCAAAGGCACAATCCACAGGTAAATCTTTTTTGGGCAGGCAGGAAGTAGTGATGGTATTACTGGAAGTAACTTCAGGAGTAGATGCAGGCGGCTCTGGAGCAGAGGATGGAGGTTTTCTCGTGGCAGCCAAGCATGGGCAAGAATGATGGCTTCTATGTAGCTTTTTAGGCTGGCATGCAGTGTACACAGGGTGAAGAAAAGTAGTACTCAGTCGGAGAGCTGGAGGCCTAAGAGGACGAATAGGATAAAAAAGTGTGATGAAATGCCCTTTTTCTCCACAATAGAAACATAGACCATGGCTTCTCCTCCTGTCTCTTTCCTCACCTGTCACTTTGCTGTGGACGAGTCCTATATGCATAGGTTCCTCAGGGTCAAGAGGAACATAGGATACCTCCGGAGTTTTCCTAGGATCTGGATCATAAGGAGGTAACACTGGGGTGTAGTGGTGGTACTGGGTTTCTTGGTTTCAAAGAATCTGAGATCTTTTGGTATGTGGAGCTGGCTTGCGCACAGTGGTCTTGCATTGCGAGTCCATAGCAATAGTGAAGGATTCCCAGCTGACAAGGACAGGACTCTTCGTCTGCAACATTTGGTGAGCCCATTCTTTGATGCGTCCAGACAACAGGTTGATAGCGGCTCGGACCTTGATGAAATCTGTGACACACCTCGCAATCCATCTTGAAGGACTGAAAGGACATGCGGCTACCATCAAAATCGATCGGGCATGATGACAAACGGTTCAGGATAAGCCAGGTTCCCGGGCTGGGTGTACTGCGCCTTTAAGAAACAAAAATTCTCGCTGCAGCTCTGAAACAGTCTGGACACTTGCTGGAACAGAGGAGGAGAGCTCTCCGCCCAGCGCTGGAAAAAGGTAAGTTTTTACCCCTTTCCTCTCCCCAGAGCCGGGCGGGAGGGGGACCCTGAGGGTGGGGGCACCCTCAGGGCACTATAGTGCCAGGAAAACGAGTATGTTTTCCTGGCACTATAAAATCCTTAAAAGAAGAAAAACTACCACAACAAGAGGACATAGTCTTAAATTAAAGGGACAAAGGTTTAAAAATAATATCAGGAAGTATTACTTTACTGAGAGGGTAGTGGATGCATGGAATAGCCTTCCAGCTGAAGTGGTAGAGGTTAACACAGTAAAGGAGTTTAAGCATGCGTGGGATAGGCATAAGGCTATCCTAACTATAAGGTAAGACTAGGGACTAATGAAAGTATTTAGAAAATTGGGCAGACTAGATGGGCCGAATGGCTCTTATCTGCCGTCACATTCTATGTTTCTAAGAGATCTAGGTGCTTATAGTGTCCTTTTAAGCTGCAGACGTGGCATCACAAGAAAAAATCCTGCACGGCAGAACAGGTCTTAAAATTGTGTTCATGCTCTGCCAAACTTGGAACAATTTTTACAAACACCTCCCAAGTTATTCTCCCTCTCTCTTTGTCAACATATCTGCTTGCAATGTGGCACCTGGGAGGAGAGGAGAAAGGTAGCACTTATATGAACCTCACAATCCTTGACTGCGCTGCTTCCTTATCCAGATCTTCAGCTCCTGGCAATGTCATCTTTTAAGAACTGATGTTGCTCCTCTTGCACCTATGCATGTTTATGTGGGTGTCTATGCAACATCCCATAAAACCATTCCTTAGGAAAGGATATCCACAGGTATATACTGAGCACAGAGTGAGAAAAAGCAGTGAAAGCTTTCCATTTACCACACTGTGCCAAACATTGGTTCCTACATGAGACGGAGGAGTGCATTCACTAAACTCTGAATTGTAGCAAGTACAAATCTTAATGGTAAAATGTAGACTAATATAGCCTTGCTGTGAGTGTACCTGAATTGGGAAATTTCTCCAGATCTGCCCATTTTTGCCTAACTCTGTCTTTCAGGTTTGAAAGTAAAAAAAAAAAAAAAAAAAAAAGGCCTGTTGCAGCCTATCACACCCACCCACTGCTACTCAAACATGAGCCCAAGTGACTAAACCAGGGGACACCAGGCACCATAACCACTTCAATGAGCACAAGTGACTATGGTACTAGTGTGTCCCTTTAACTATCTGCAGTACTCCCTACTTCTTCTAATGTCTTTACATTGATTGGAATGTCTGTGCCAGTGTCGCTTTTCAGCTTGTCCCGTTGAAGTGACACCTTTAACTCGGTGTGGCTCCTGTGCAGTGTCCCAGTAGGCACTTGTTTTGGTGACGATCTGCTACCCATCTTTTACATGAGGTGAGTCCCTTGTACTGCATCATGCCTCGTGCCCGACGCTCTGCCCTTACTTGCAATGGCCGCGATGGCTTCGAGCACATTGCAGGATGCGGCGGCTGGCGTCGCGCGCTCACTTCGTCACCGCTGAGCGCTGATTGGCCCGTTGCTCGGTCAGGGCAGAGCGCCCGTTGGCCCTCCATATCCTTGTCGCCCATTGTTTTACCAACGCGTCATAAGCCGGGGACGCGCGCGGTTCGATGAGGTGTCACCGAAGTCGGGCACCAGTAGTAAGATTAATTAAACGTTCCATTGGCTCGGCGGGGGCAGCTCGTGGGCGGTCGGTGGGTGTCGCTTTCCAGAACGGACGGCCATGGCAGATGTCACATGTCTATCCTTGGCGGAGGAGGGATGGTAAGATAACAGGGGGCACACTGTCTGTGTCCTGGCTCACTCTGTGCACGTGATTAAAAGTGTGACAATGTGTATACCGGGGGCACTAGCAAGGCACAGACAGCAGAGAGAGAGAGAGACACACAGACAGACGGGGGAGGTGTGAAGGGGGGTGCTTGATGGCACACAGGGCTTGACAGACCCACCAGTATTGTTCTCAGGACACACATGTTTATAATGCGGGGGAGCAGCAAGAAAGTGGTACCCAGCCATGTTGGGGTTTAAACACTGTTCCTGGGAATTTGATCAGTTAAGGTTTAGTTTTTTTGGTATTTTGATCATTAGATTTGTCTTGTTCAACACATGATTTATTGGTTAGCTTTCTGTTAGCGAGTTATATTTTCTAGGACAGGTGTAGAACAATCTTTGGCAACTCCAGATGTTGTATAATGCTTTTACAGCCTAGGACCGCTATAAGCACCCAGACCACTTCAGCTCAATGAAGTGGTCTGGGTGCCAGGTCCCCCTAGTTTTAACCCTGCAGCTGAAAACTAATATTTACACTGCACGGTTAATCCAGCCTCTAGTGGCTGTCTCTGCGATTTACACTCAGTAACTCGCACTTATCTCACGGAGTCAAGCGTCAAATAAGATCCCCGTAGGAAAGCATTGAGTAATGCTTTCCTATGGGCGGATTTGAATGTGCGCGCCTTTGCATTCTGCTCCACTCGAGAGCTGACGTCGGCGGGGGAGAAGAGGTCCGCTAAAATGATTGGCAATCCGCCTGCACCAGGCACCCAGTAATGTGGACGGACGTGCCCTCTTCATGGGCGGGTCTGCCCCATTTGGACAGAGCCAGTGACACAATCCCTTTACTGCCCTTCCACTGACATCCCAATTCTGGGACAAACGATGTTGGGAAGTATGGAACAGGTCCAACTGGTGGCTCAGTAGAGCACTCAGAAACACCCAATATGTGATTTAGATTCATAAAGACACAGCATGCAGCTTATAGACACATCTTAAGTATACTATTCAGTTCCCATACAATACTCCACTCTATGCAGTACACACCACACCATCCATTTTACATACAAACACTGAATGTTTGAAATTTTGCAGTCAAATTAACGGACCAAACAGCACTTACCCCTTCTCTTTTCTCTTTATACTGCCTCTCTTGGCAAGCTTATTGCCTCTTTTGGATTCAACTACCACCTGTACGCTGATGACACTCAAATATACCTCTCCTCCCTGGACCTCTCCCCTGCCGTCCTGCAACGTGTCACTGCTTGCCTTACTTCCATCTCTGACTGGATGTCCTCACGCTTTCTGAAACTCAATCTCTCTAAAACTGAACTCCTTGTCTTTCCTTCTCCTTATACTGATCATCCTCTCTCACTCTCCCTTCAAGTCAGTTATATCCACATACGTCCATCCTTGCAAGCACGCTGTCTTGGCGTCATACTTGACTCTGGCCTCACCTTTGAGCCTCACATCCAGTTTGTTGCCAAATCCTGTAGGTTCCAACTCAAAAACATAGCCCACATCCGCCCCTTTCTTATGCAAGATGCGACCAAAGAGCTTGTCCATGCTCTAGTAATTTCCCGCATGGATTACTGTAACCCTCTCCTGACTGGTCTCCCCAAAAGCTGTATTGCCCCACTACAGTCTGTAATGAATGCTGCAGCTAGACTGATTTTCCTCTCTAGTCGGTCCTCTCACACATCACCCATGTGCCAGTCCTTACATTGGCTCCCTGTATCCTATAGGAGTCAATTCAAAGTGCTAACCCATACATTTAAAGCACTGAACAATTCTAGCCCCTCTTATATCTCCTCAATGATCCATAGGTATGCCCCGCCTCGTTCCCTCCGCTCTCTGCCCGTGACCACCTCCTGACCGCTGCTCGCACCCGTACAGCCAACTCGCGCTTGCAGGACCTCTCACGGGTGGCTCCTTTCCTATGGAATAGCCTGCCTACCGCCATCAGACTCTCCCCTAGTCATCAATCATTTAAGAAGAGCCTTAAAACCCTTCTCTTCAGGAAAGCTTCTGGCCTCCTAGAGTAACCTCTACCTTACATACCTGTCTCTTGCTCTTTCTACCCTCTCCTCCAGCTCTGCTTCACTCCCATCCTATTTGATTGATATTTCCTGTCCTAACGTGTCTTATACCCCACCTCCTATAGACCGTAAGCTCGTTTGAGCAGGGTCCTCTTCAACCTATCGTTCCTGTAAGTTTTCTTGTAATTGTCCTATTTATAGTTAAATCCCCCCTCTCATAATATTGTAAAGCGCTACGGAATCTGTTGGCGCTATATAAATGGCAATAATAATAATTGGAGGAACTTGTGGAAGATATCAGCAGACATGCTGACGAAGACTGAAGCGTCTCAGCACCATAAACTAGATAAGAACACTTTGTTTAATTTAAAGGGACTTCTATCACTTGACGACGACTATTTTTTTTTTATCTGCAAGCATACACTTTTAAACAAATATACAAACCTAAATAAAGCAAAAAAAGCTTTGAAAAATGTGTAATAAACTTTGATAAATTTACTATAAACTTGGTCAGATTGCATTATTGGGCACACCTCTCCCCCCCACCATGTACATATTCATCTCAGTTTTAGACCAGTCCACTAATGACAGAAACAGGACATCATTGTGCAGCAGCAGGAAAGAGACACTGGAAGCCGCCCTGAACAAACTGTCTCTTCTCCCCTTGTCAGGATGCTCCAAGTACCATGGCCATTAATACCTTTAGAAGGGATCATGTTGGTAGCAATCTGTATGTGCAGCGTAACTGCTTGAAACGCTACACATGCAGAGATATTTGCTATATTGTGCTGGGGGCTAGTTACAACCAAGACATACGTGACGTAGGCAGGTAGGACCAAGCTGCTTTATGTCAATTCTGTGCAAAAGTTATGTCTGTTGTTAGTGCACACTGCATACTGGCAAAATATGTCATGCTTTCTTCCTACAAGGGGAAAATTGAATCTCCTCTTCCTCCCTCTCTCATCTGAGTCATCTTAGTCTCTGTATATTTGTAATACAGAAAGGGAAGGGATTCACATCGTACTGATTTGTAGTAGCCAAATCTGCACATTTTGTTTCACTTGGAGACTTTGTCAAGATATGCTGATAGACAGTAGTCAACCAGGTTGTTTTTAAAGGAACACTGTAGTCACCAGAACAACTACAGCTTAATGTAGTTGTTCTGGTGAGTATAGTCAGTCCCTGCAGGCATTTTCATGTAAACACTGCGTTTTTAGAAAAAAGGCAGTGTTTACATTGCTCCCTAGGGAAAACTGCAGTGGCATTCACTCAGATGCTGAACTTTGTCCATAGAGATACATTGATTCAATGCATCTCTTTAAAAAAACTGCTGATTGGCTTGCGTCATAGGAAAGCATTGGATTGACTCAGTCAATTCTGATGATCTCAGCCATGGAGCTGGGGCGCGGTCAGCACCATCAGACCTGCGCAGAGCTGGAAAAATAAAGGATGTTTTAATACTTTTTAAGAGGGACAAGCTACCTAAATGGTGGTTTACAACACTATAGGGTCAGGAATATACTGACCATATAGTGTTCATGTAACGCAGCCCAAGTCAGAGGGTGGGATAAAAACAAGGATTCCCAACTTATTCTTAAAAATAACAGGATTTCTAAAAAAAAACAGGTATCCCGGTTAATTTTTAGAGCAACCTCCACATCAAAATCTTCACAATGAAAATGTAAAAGGGGGTGGAGGGGAGGAGGTGATATTCAGAACAGGGTTGACAAAATTACATTATCATAGCAAAACATACAATATTATTTGAAACATAAATGATGCATACTACATTATGTGATTGCCGTGTAGGAAATATTTTATATAAAAAAAGAAAAATCCAATTCATCGTTAAAGGACCACTCTAGGCACCCAGACCATTTCAGCTTAATGAAGTGGTGTGGGTGCCAGGTCCAGCTAGGGTTAATCCATTTTTTAATAAACATAGCAGTTTCAGAGAAACTGCTATGTTTGTAAATGGGTTAATCCTTCCTCCAATTCCTCTAGTGGCTGTCTCATTGACAGCCGCTAGAGGCGCTTGCGTGATTCTCACTGTGAAAATCACAGTGAGGGCACGCAAGCGTCCATAGGAAAGCATTGTAAATGCTTTCCTATGAGACCTGCTGAATGCGCGCGCATTCAGCCGAAAGGGAGGAGAGGAGGAGGAGAGCTCCTTGCCCAGCGCTGGAGAAAGGTAATATTTAACCCTTTCCTCTCCCCAGAGCCGGGCGGGATGGGGACCCTGAGGATGGGGGCACCCTCAGGGCACTATAGTGCCAGGAAAACAAGTATGTTTTCCTGGCACTGTAGTGGTCTTTTAAAGGACTATAGGCACCCAGCTCAATGAAGTGGTCTGGGTGCCAGGTCCACCTAGGGTTAACCCTGCAGCTGTAAACATAGCAGTTTCAGGGTGGGGGGGAGGGGGCTAAAGACCCTATAGTGCCAGGAAAACAGGTTTGTTTTCCTGGCACTATAGTGGTCTTTTAAGATAATTCGGTCACAAAGAGCCCACTTTAAAATCAAATTAGTTTCTGCAGTTAACATTTTTTCTCCTTGCAACATCCCATTCTAGTGAGACACACTCTATTCCTATTACCCAGATATATTTGGGATTGCTTTTGTGCAATGCTTGGAAATTAGCTATTGCAGATTCAACTTTATTATCACT